TATGTAATTGCTTATGTGGGTAAGTGCTTATGTATGTAATACCTTATGAGGGTAAATGGTATGTTAGTGCTTAGAGATGTAAGCGCTTAGGTATGTAAGTGCTTAGGTATATAAGTGTTTAGGTAAGTGCTTATGTGGGTAAGTGCTTATGTATGTAAGTGCTTATGTGGGTAAGTGGTTATGTATGCAAGTGCTTATGTGAGTAAGTGCTCAGGTAAGAGCTTATGTGGGTAACGCCTTAGGTAAGTGATTATATATGTTGTAAGTGCTTATGTATGTAATTGCTTATGTGGGTAAGTGCTTATGTATGTAATTGCTTCAGTGGGTAAGTGCTTAGGTATGTAACTGCTTAGAGATGTAAGTGCTTAGAGAAGCAAGTTCTTAGGTAACTGCTTATGTATGTAAGCGCTTGTGTATGTATTTGCTTATGTAGGTAAGTGCTTAGGTATGTAAGTGTTTAGGTATGTAAGTGCTTAGATATGTAAGTGCTTAGATATGTATGTGCTTAGATATGTATGTGCTTAGGTAAGTGTTTATGTGGGTAAGTGCTTATGTATGTAAGTGCTTATGTGGGTAAGTGGTTATATATGCAAGTGATTATGTGAGTAAGTGCTTAGGTAAGTAATTATATATGTAAATGCTTATGTATGTATTTGCTTATGTGGGTAAATGCTTATGTATGTAATTGCTTAGGTATGTAAGTGCTTAGGTATGTAAGTGCTTAGATATGTAAGTGCTTAGATATGTTAGTGCTTAGGTAAGTGCTTATGTATGTAAGTGCTTATGTATGTAAGTGCTTATGTGGGTAAGTGGTTATATATGCAAGTGCTTATGTGATTAAGTGCTTAGCTAAGTGCTTATGTGTGTAACTGCTTAGGTAAGAGATTATATATGTAAGTGTTATGTATGTAATTGCTTATGTGGGTAAGTGCTCAGGTATGTAATTGCTTATGTGGGTAAGTGCTTAGGTATGTAAGTGCTTAGAGATGTAAATGCTGAGGTAAGTGCTTATGTAGGTAAGTGCTTATGTGGGTAAGTGCTTGTGTATGTATTTGTTTTTATGGGTAAGTTCTTAGGTATGTAAGTGCTTAGGTGAGTGCTTATGTGAGTTAACTGCCTGCCTACCTGCCTGCCGAAACTTGGTGTGAGTGTTTATAATCACTCAAGGATGAACCCTTTTGAAATTCAGACCAAGAGAAAAAAAATTACTATGAGTTATTGCCCTTGTTCTTGAATTGTTTGTGGACACGATAGAGAGCTGGTTTCTTGATGGATTTTGACGAAACTTGGTGTGAGTGTTTGTAACCATTCAAGGATGAACCCAATTGAAAATTAGACAAATCGGAAAATATTTGATATGAGTTATTGCCCTAGTTCTTCAGAACCCGTTCAATTTTTAGTTTGTTAATACTTTGGAAGGCACAATTCTTGATGGATTTTTATGAAACTTGGTGTGAGTGTTTGTAATCACTTTAGGATGAACCCTATTGAAAATCAGACCAATCGAAAAATATTTATTATGAGTTATTGCCCTTTTTCTTGAGAATGCGTTTAATTTTTAGTTTGTAAACACTCTAGGAGGCACAATTCTTGATGGATTTTGATGACACTTGGTGAAATTGTTTAATATCATCCAATGATGAACCCTATCCAAAATGAAAACAATCAAACATTATTTTATATGAATTGATGCCTTTGTTTTTGA